ATATTTCCATGTGCGTTAACACTTCGGTGTAATTTTAACTGTGTTGTATTGTATTAAAATGATTATTATAAATTCTAATATTTTGTATTACCATACCTTTTGAATAATTACTTACCTCTTTTACAATTTCTTCAAGAGTTTGTTTATCATCACTAAAAGATTTCAAAGCGAAGAAATGATCAGTATTTTTCCAATTAACACGATTTATATTTCCATAAGAACCACTTCCTATTGGTAGAATATTTTTGAAGTCTGAATAATCATAGTAGTTGATATGTTCATCGACAATTGATTTCTCTAACCATTCAATATAATGGTTTGAATCTTTTAAGATGTTTTTTGACATTTTTTTTTTTATATTTTCTAATTAAGTTGAAAACATTCTTTTATATTCAATAATTGATCGGCGAAATTTTAAATTTTTATGGTTACTTGCTGAGCTTTTTTGAAATGAGGACACATTATCGTTAATTATCGTAATGTTACATAAAGTTTTTTATTTTTTCTTTTTTTTTTTTTTGGAAAAGTAATAATTAATAATTTAAAATAATAAATTAAAATAACAAAAATCGGAGAGTCCGGTTCACGGTTTATCTTTCGGTTTAAGACCCGTTAAGGTTTTTAGGGATGAAAATTGATAATTAAATAATTATATATAAATAGTAATATAAATATTTAACATTCATTCATACATTCATTAATACATGATTAATGGCTAAATATATTATTTGAATTTTGTTATCTGTTATTACGTACAATGTTACATAATCAAAACAAAATTCTTTTTTTTTTGGAATTAATAATCTTATTATTTTTTTAAATACCGAGCAAATAAAAATTAAATAAAAGTAACCGACAAAATACTATGATACCAAATATAACATTGATATCCAAACCATACAAAAAAAAATTTATAATTTTATAATATTTATAATATTTAAAATAATAAAAAAAAATAATAATAATACCTAATACCAATAATACTCATACCAAATAACGAAAAAATGATACCCAATAATAAAAAATTTCTAAACGAATAATTTTTCGACGAATTATTTGAGTTTTTTTACGCCTTTTACACTACATTATTAACTTCGTTACAAACTTCTTAAAAAGTAATTATAATCATTTTTTAAACAAAGAAAATTAATAATTTTTTTTTTTTTAAAGTTTTTTAAATTATTTTAATTATAGTTTAGTTCTCTTACAAAGAAAACTTTGTTACAAAAATAAGCAAGCAATCAAAAAAAAAAAATATATTTTGACGGATTGAAACAAAAAAAGAAAAAAACGAAAATCGAAAATCAAAAATTGGTACAATTTTTTTTTTAAAAGTTTAATTGGGCGGGAAAAAAAAAAAAATTAACGACATTTTTCTTTAATGACATTTATTAATGACATTTTTTTATTTATTAATAAACTTTATCAAAAAAAACCCTTTTCGGTTTTTACTTTTTGAACCTTTCCATTCAAATAATTACTATTTTATCTTTTTTCATTCAAAATAATAAAACGTTATATTTTGATATTTTGACAGGAATACTTAATTCGGTTTGATTTAATTGTCTTTTTGATACTTTTTTCTCTTTTCTTTTTAAAAAGGAAACATGGCAAAAAAAAGTAAAAAATGTTCGTGTTACCAAAATAACCCCCTATAAATGGTATTATTATATAAAAGATATTCCGAACTATACCCGAAATTGGATTCCTTTTAAACAAAAAAAAAATTACTATTTAAATTACACGCATAACACGCATAATGATAATGAGAAAACAATGATGTTTTTTTTCCCTATTGTTTTTATTATTTATTTATTTATTTATTTATAATATATATATATGTATATATGTATATATATGAATATATTTTATATAACCATATAATAAATCATATAAATTATTTATATACATATACATATACATACATACATACATGTATACGTATATATATATATATATATAAATATATATATAGATGTATAGAATATTATACATTATATATTATATAATATATTAACATATTATTAATTCTTTTTTAATGATTTCTCTCCTATTACTATCCGTTGTATCCGTTGTATCCGTTGTTATGAACGAAAATCATTTCTCCGAATATTAATAATTATTACGTATCATATTTACATACATAGTTAACATATATTCTCATCCGTACATTCCGTACATTCTATACTATTCTATATGACTTATTTTATATTATACTTTACATTCAAATGAACAAGTTTTTTTTTTTTCAAGAGTTTCAGGTCATTCAAGTCATTCAAGTATTTTTTTGGTTCTTATAGTTTTTCTCTTTTTTGATTTATTCATTAAAAAATTCAAATATAACCTAATAGAGTCCAATAAGTTCAATAAAATCGAATCCGTTATTTACGTTATTTTACATTATTTTACATTATTTTACATTACTTACATTATAAACATTATTTACGTTATTTTTAGAAATTTTTTTTTTTCGCCACAATTTACAAAATGTTAATAGCCACACCGAGGGTTTCAATCGGTTTCAATCGATTTCAATCGATTTGAATCGAGTCTGTCAACTTTTCCGTCATCATTTTCCGTACTTGTTATGTAAGTTGAATGAGCCACAACTAAAAAAAGATAATCAAATAACCAAAATGACTCACGAAATTCTTTATACGTTATTTCCCGTAAAAAATTCGGCGGAAGCAATTATCCGGCGGTGTATATATGTTGTTATTATTGTTATTGTATGATTTTGTATAATTGATTGATTTAGGAATTTCTTTAAAAAATGTCGTTAAATGGCCTGAATATGAATGGCCGCAAATATCCGCAATATGCCGTAAATCAATAATCAATAATCAAAATAATCAAAATAATCAAAATAATTCATTTTTTTTTTTGATCCTTTATTTGATTTCTAAAAAAAAAATAATTTGATTAATAAAAATGATGACGATAATTATGATGATGATGATGTTATTTTTACATTATTTACATTATTTCATTATTTCATTATTTCAATTACTTCAAAAGAAAAGTGATTTTTTTTTATACAAAATATAAGATATAACTTTTACTTTATTTTATTTTACTTTTTTTAACAAAGGTAAAATACAATTTTTGTTTTAAAATAAAATAAATGGCGATAGTTAGTCATACTACATAACTGTAAAAAAAAAAAAAAAATTGGCGACCTTATGATCTCACAAGTAAAATAATAACCCTCATGAGGCAAATATGTAAATAACATTTGATTGATTGTAAGTACATATCTGTTAAGGTACTGTTTAAGGTACTATTAAGGTAACTGTGTATAATAAGGTAACTTTGTATAAATAATCTATAAATAAGATCACCAATCATATTATAACAAATTTGTTCATCTTTAAGCCAGAAAAGAAAAAAAAGGGAAAAGAATTGATTTTCCGGAATTAAATCAAGTTTTTTTTTTTTTTTTTTT